CAGGCTTCATCCAAGGGCTGTTAATTCTTTCTTGGGAATATAAAATCTTTTCAGTTCTTCAGACCTGTCTATCCCCTTTTGTTATTAGAACTCTTTTCTGGGTGAACAGGATTAGTCTTTTATTGAACTTTAATGCAGATTCTCCACTGAAAAAAGAATTCATCTGGCTGCAGGATGTCAAAATGACTCTCCTTCTGCTAATTCAGTCAGCTGGTGAAAGGATCACAGTCTGTGGGATATTGCCCTCCTCCCAGTTTCCTTCCTGACTACGAAATGAGCTGTGTGACTTTGAACAAGATTCTTGATCTCTCTGGACCTCAGTCATCCCTAACATGAGGAAATTGGACTCAGTAAAAGCAGAAGCTCATTTTAGCTGTAGCTTTTTTTTATGAATCCTTACTCAAAGATATACTTATTGACTTTAGAGAGAGGAAAGGGGGGAGAGAGAGAGAGGCATAGAGAGACATCGAAGTTAGAGAGAAACATCGATTGGTTCCCTCCCATATGTGCCCCAACCAGGAATAGAACCTGCAACATAGGCATTGGTATGTGCACTTACCAGAAATCGAATCCACAGCCTTTTGGTGTATGGGACAATGCTGCAACCAACTGAGCAACCCAGCCAGGGCTTCATTGCAGCTTTTTGTATTTATATATAAAAGTATTAGGTTTTTAACCATCCTCCTTTACCTGAGGAAGACTGAGTGGGCCCCAGAACTTGTACAGTTGTGGCAGCTCTGGTGGTCTTTATGAAAGGGGTTTTACTTAGTCCCATAAGTTCACTTGTACGATATGCTTATATTTATCAGTATACACACACATACAAGCACACACATGCAAGTACACACACACAACTTTGGATAAATATAATGCATTCTGAGGCATTGAATGTTGAAGGGACAGGAAATAATATTGAGTATGGTTACAGATGTTGCTAGTTTGGATAAGTCTGGAGCAGGGCTCAGAAGAAGGAGACACAGCATGGATTGCGAGTGAAGCAAGATACTCCAGGTATGTGATGAGTATGGTTAAGGGTTGGGTCTTGGTGGGTAGCTATTAAAACCTTATAGACCTTTGTTGTAGGGAACATTTTATGAATTTGACCCCAAAGGCAAGGGAAGTAAAAGCAAAAATAAACGAATGGGACTATATCAAACTAAAAAGCTTCTATAGAGCAAAAGAAACCAACAACAAAACAAAAAGACACCCAACTGAATGGGAGATATTTGCAAATAACAGCTCTGACAAAGGGTTAATATCTAAAATATATAAAGGACTCATAAAACCTAACACCAAACAAACAATCTAATTAAATGGGCAGAGGACCCGAACAGACACTTCTACCAAGAAGACATACAAACAGCCAATAGATACATGAAAATATGTTCAACTTTACTAGCTGTTAGGGAAATTACAATCAAAACTACAATTAAACTAATGGGAAAAATACAATAAAATTTTTTAAATATTAATAAATAGAAATTAAAAACAACCGCAATGAAATACCACCTCACACCTGTAAGAATGGCTATTACCAACAAGACAAGTGTTGGAGAGACTGAGAAAAGGAAACCTTCATTCACTGCTGGTGAGAATCTAGACTGGTACAGTCTGGTGATCCCTCAAAAAATTGAGAATAGAATTATCATATGACCCAGCAATTCCTCTCCTGGGTATTTACCCAAAGAACTCAAAAACATGTATTCACAAAGACATATGCACCCCTATGTTCATTGCAGCATTATTCATGGTGGCCAAGACATGGAGATAATCAAAGTGTCCTAGTATAGAGGACTGGATAAAGAAGATGTGGTACATATATACAATGGAATACTACTCAGCCATAAGAAAAGATGAAATACTGCCATTTGCAACAAGGATGGACCTTGACAATATTATGCTAAGTGGAATAAGTCAGTAAGAAAAAGCAAAGAACCATGTGATTTCACTCAAATGTGGGATATAAAACAAACTTATGGACACAGACAATAGTGTGGTGGTTACCAGAGAGAAGGGGGTGAGAGATGGGGGAGGCCTAATGTATGGTGACAGAGGATAGTTTGACTTTGGGTGGTGGGCGCACAGTGCAATATGCAATCTTGTATCATAGAAAAGTACACTTGAAATTTACATGATCATATTAACCAATGTTACCTCAATAACTTAATAAAAAGTTGAAAGAAAAAACCTTATTATATACCTGGATTCTCAATGAACAGCTATTGTGAGTTATTGAAAAGTGGTCCAGCAGAATGAAGTTTGAGAGACTACATTCAGATTTCTGGGCGTATGAAATTAAGGAAAGACAAAATGCAGGAAAGATGCTGAAGGGGCCATTATCTAAATGAGGCCAGTGGAATATGAGCAGTGTGGAAAACGTTATAAATATCTGGAGAAAGGGATTCTTGGAATTAGATCTATTCACTCACTTATGTGCTAAACGCTTGCCAAGTTCAGGGGCATCAGTTCTGGAAGGGATCATAGAGGTGATCTATCACATGAATTGGGAAACTGAAGACCAGATTAGGGTTGGGGCCTGCCCAGTGCCACACAGCTGATTCTGACCAGTGGAGTGCTCTTTCTACTATAGCTAAATACCACCCTTATTCATTGACCTCAATTTTTCCATTAAATTTGCATTTTGTGCCTGAGGGGCTCCCGTGGGTATAGTGACCTAACGCATCCCAAGATCTCTACTATAGATATGCTGCCCCCTGCAGTCAAAAGTCAGGATTTGCTTAGATCCTTTGCCAGATACCCAAATCCCAGGCCTGAGGTTTAATCTTCCCCAACAGCCTCTTGCACAGACTGCACAATAACTTAATCAGAAAGGAAGGAGAGGGTCCAAGTGTTCAGGCAAATGCTGTTCCACTAGACTCCTCACTTGTCCATCCCCATCGGCATTCCTTGAATAGTGTAAGGGCACGTGCAGACCTTCTGCTGACGTGCCTAGGCCCTATTTCCAGCTTGCTGCTTATTTCTGTGGACTTTTGTCTGCACATGCTCACAAGGATTTCATCCAGGAGGAGCAAGGAAGTGCCAAGAGCAACCACCCTCGATGATGTTATTGTCCCCAGGTACCTTATAAAATTGTTTTTGGAGCCCTATGTAGCCCCTACTCTCTCCTCTACATAGGTTTGACCTAAAGCTATGAAATGGGCTAAGCAATTGTAAAGTTCTGGCCTGGAAGCCTAGACCTTTCACTTTTGGGCAAAAAGTGTAAATTGTGCCCCTTCAGCAATCATTTCATCACCCTGTTGTCCTTTCTGAGTTGTAGGGAGCAGCAGACGAGACTCTGCCCTAAATGGAGGGGACTGTCCTTCATCACTCTGTGTACAGAAACATCAGTCATCCTCTTATTGATGGTAAGGTCTTGACAGTTTTAGACAGTCAGTAGTATGTTTTCATTTCAGTTAGTTTAAATCTGGCAAGCATTTATTGAGTGCCAGGCATTAAGTGCCCAAGAAATGGAGATAAATACAATATAATTACTTGCCTTCCAGGAGAACATAGTTATGTAAATTTTTATTGAGGACCTACATAGCACCTATAGCAGACATGGCAAAGATAAAGACAACAGAAAAAATTATTTGAGGATAGAGAACAAGTAACAGTTATGGAAATCGCCTGACCACCAGATCTGCCAGCAATCCTCCCTTCTCTATTAGAAGGCAGCTTGGGGTACAATGGAAAGCACAAAATAGGAGTTAGGAGATTTGGATGTCTAATCCCAGCATTGCAATTAATCTATATGTATCAGGCAAGTCAATGAACTACTCTGGCACTCAGTATCCTAACTCTAAATTGAGATGCCATTAAAAATTTCTTAGTTCTCTTCCATCTTTAAGATAGAATCAATCTAGGAAGGCTTTCTGGAAGAAGTGCAATTTCAGTATTTAAAAAATGGAAAAGAAACATTGTTATTGTTCTGGGAAAGGCATTTCTGTTATGCAGTATCATCCAGGAAAAATAGAGGTGGGAAGGAGTGGAGGAAGGCAGAGAATGGAGACAAAAGGTTTTGAATGGATATTGTGAACAAGTAGTATAGGAGTTGGTCAAGCTGGACTTTTGGAAGATCATATCTGAAGGCATGATAGTTTATAGTGGGAAACTTGAAACAGACCTGGCAGAGGGAGTCCAGATGTTTGGATAGTTTCCCTAAGGCAAGTCCCCGCCACCCCCAACTTGGCAGGATTGCCCTGACCTCAGAATTTAAGGCAGCATACCACCAGCTGCGTTTTTAGAAAGAGAAATAGTAGTGTAGCAAAACCAAGTCAGTAATTTCTCAAAAGTTGGAACTGCTTGCCCTAAGTTGAGGAGACCAGATTTAAAAAGAAGTCCTCCCTTCAGATTCCCTCAGCAATAGCTATGGGAAGGCCAGGTGTGGCTGGCAGACACCCTGTCACCAAGGTGACCCATCGTACCGCCGACAGAGAGCTCATCCTCCTATCTGCGGAGAAGGCATCACCATTTTTTGTCTTCTTGGCCTTGATTCCACATGCTATTATTAATTGACACTGAGTCTTATGTTTGCAACTAACTAATGGATTTTGAACACAGCTGGGCACTGAAGGTCAGAGAAGTCAGAAGTAAACCGCACCCCCCCCCCGCCTTTTTCCCCCATTCTTTATCCTACCAGAAAAGGGATGGAATGTATATAAATTCCTGAAAATATACATTTCTTTCAGTGTGGTGGAGGCATTGAGTGGAAGAGGGGAAAAGGATAGAAGGATAAGAACTAGAATGAAGGGAACACAGTAAGGAAAGGAGAAAGAGAGAAATCAGAAAAATTGACCAAGAAACAGGAGCTGGGAAAAAAAAGAAGAGGTAGAGCAAAAGAGAAAGAGAAACAAGGAAATAGGATGCTGAGGCAAGCAACAAGGCTAAAACTGCCACAAGGAGGACAGGTGGCCCAGAGCAGGCATCTGAGACAGGAAACAAGGGAGAAAAGGGGAGGGGATTACAGCAAAGGGGATCTTGGGAGACTGGAGGGAAAGGCCAGGGAGGAAATAGCCAGAGAAAGAAGCTGGGAAGAGAGGACAAACATCGAGATGAGGGAGAGACATAGCCAGAAAAAGGGAGAGAACAAGGTAGTAGGAGGAAAGGCCAGAAGCATGAGAGGACAAGGAAAGGGAAATTTGGAGCAAAGGAGAGGGGAGAGAGCAGGCAGAAACAGGCAGAAACTAGGAGGGAACCGAAGAAGAGGCACGCATGGCTGGGTTAATGAGCCACTCTCTTCTCCTACTCCCCAGAGGAAGCACAGCTAATTATGCTTCCATCTCCTTGGCCTGGAGGAGATCAGGAGGTCTGAAGAAATGCCCTCAGCAAGCAGAATGCCAGAGGGCACAGGGCGAGGAGCAGGTAAGAGTACGGAGCTGGCAGATTGACAGAGGGGCTGCTTCCCTGGATCAACCAGGTCTCCCTCAGAGTGGTGGCTGGCATACTGCCAGCCTAGGATGGGGTGGTGGTAGAGGACACATTTATTTTGCTTAGCATGTGGGCACTGCAGTTTTCTTGGGAAAGTCATAAAAGAGCCAAAGGCCTTGAGAGAAGGGGAAAGGAGGGGAAAGAAGAAAGAGCTACAGGCAGGGGTTTCCTTCCTCTATCACTTTATGGGGCACTTTTCTCAACCCTGTGCTAATGCTTCACCTATGAATCTCAAAGGCATGGAAAGCAAACCAGGGGCAAGTGAAGCTCCAGCTTCAGGTCACATAAGCTTCCTTCCTGCTCCTGTGCTGTTGGGTAATACAGAAACTGACTTTAATATACTAACCACAGCCTGGACTTACCTGGGCTCAGAACTGATCAAACACTCTCAGGGTACTATGGAGAACAGAGAGATGAATGAGAGGCCACCACTGTCCCATGAGTAGTTTATCATATAATGGGGACTTGTAAGAAATGGGAGATAGCATACTTAGGGAATCCGAAGAAGTGAGACAATGGGGAAAGGTGAGAAGAGCATGGCTTTTGAAGTCAGAAATACTTGGTTATAATTCCAGCTGTATTGCTTATTAGGTATCAATCAAATTCCCAAGGATCAGTTTCCTTATGCACTAACCTTGTGCTAAGCATTTGATATTAATACATTTGATTCTCACAATGATCAAATGAGATTATTTTTCTTTTTCTATACAGATTGATTTTATTTTTTTAAATATCAAGATCCATTATAAAATTAAAAAATTTAAATCCATTATAAAGTCTGAGCAGTCATGACACTTGCACAGAAATAATCAAGTAGATCAGTGAAATAAACTGAGCATTCTAGAAATAAACGTATATATCTTTCTAACCATGTAATATATGATTAAATTGATATTTCAAATCAATGGGGAAAATAAGGCTTATTCAACATAAGGTGCGTGGATCACTATTACTTGAAATAAAACAAATATAGAGCACTATTTCACACTTTATACAACAAATATTCAGATGAGTTAAAAATCAGTATGTAAAATCTAAGGAGTTTTAGGTGAAAATACAAAATAATATTTTTCTTACCCTGAAGTAACATTCAAACCCAGAAGCTATAAAGTAAAATATTGGCAATATGACTATATTAAATATTTAAGACTATACAGTAATATTCATGTAAAAAAAGGTAAAGGACAAGTAATAGAATAGGAAAGTATTTGCAACACATCTATAAAAGGGTTAATAGTTGTTTTTCTTTTTTTGTTTGCTTTTTTAGGGAAAAAATTCTATAAACATTTAATCAAAAAATGGATAAAGAATACCAAAAAGTCACTTAAAGCTTTTTTTAAAGTAATAGAAATAGGCAGGAAATATACAAAAACAGGTTTAGTTTCAACAAATAAAGTAACAATTACATCATTGTCACAATCGGATTAATAAGTATTAAAAATATTGGTAATATCAAGTATTGGTCACTGTGAAAGGAACTGGGTATTCATAGATTATTTTCATGCGCCTTAAAGCAGTCCCTTTAGCATATTCTGCAAGGCTGGTTTGGTGGCGGTCTTTTAGCCTTCTTTTGTCTGAGAAGCTCCTTATTTCACCTTCCATTTTAATTGAGAGCCTTGTTGGGTAGAGCAGTCCTGGTTGCAGGCCTTTGTTTTTCATTCCTTGGAATATTTCTTGCCATCTCTTCTGGCTTGTAGTGTTTCTTTTGAGAAGTCAGCTGCTAGCCGTATTGGGGCTCCCTTATGTGTCACTAACTCACTCTCCCTTTAGGATTCTCTGTTTGTCTTTGATATTTGCTGGTTTAATGATGATGTGTCTTGGAGTGGGCCTCATTGGGTTTCTCTTGAATGGGACCCTCTGTGATTCCTGGACTTGTGTGACATTTTCTCTCCTCCAATTACGGAAGTTTTTCATCATTACTTTTTTGAGGAGGTTCTCTATCCCTTGCTCCTCTTCTTCTGGTATCCCTATAATATGGATATGATTACATTTCAGGTTGTCCTGCATTTCCCTAAACACCTCCTCATTCTTTTTGAGTCTTTTTTCATTTTCCTGCCTTTTCTGGGAGCTTTTTCCTACCTTATCCGCCATCTTGTTGATTCAGTCCTCTGCTTCATCAAGCCCGCTTTTGATTCCTTCTACTGTATTCTTCAATTCAGAAATTGTATTCTTCATTTCCTCTTGTTTTTATTGATAGTTTCTATATTCTTTTCCATGCTGATATAGTTTGCAGTAAGTTCCTCATAGTTTTCCTGTAGTTTTATGTAATTCCCTCTGAGCTCACTGAGCTCATTGAGCTTCCTTAGAACCATTGTTTTAAACTCAGTATCTGATAGTTTACTTTCCTCTATTTCATTTTGTTCTCTTTCTGGGAATTCCTCCTTTCCCTTCAACTGGTTCATGTTTCTTTGTCTTCCCATTATTTGTGAGACTCTTCTTTTCTGCTTCTGCTTCTTAAATTGATCTGTCCTGATTTCCTGACTTGTGGTGTGAACTTCTATGGTAGGATACCGCTGTTTTGTTTTTTTTTTTTTCTGGATCTGCCTCTGATGATGTCAGATGTTGACCCTGTCTTACCCTAGGCAGTCTTTTCAAGACTTCCGGGAATCTGCTGTCTGTGGCTGTCTCCTTCAACCATTAATCTAGTCACTCAGCACTCAGTAGACCAGCTTAGTGACACCACAGGGTGGGGCAGAGCCCCTCCTGGCGGCAGGGTTATTGGGTCCTCTCACGCTGTTCCTGCTCAGTCGAGTGATCTGCCTGAGCAAAATGGTTGCTGCCTTATGGGGGGTGAGTCAGCACTGGGATCCTGCCAGCTACTCTTTGAGTTCTCTCCCCAAAGCCTCCTTCCCCAGTCTCTCCTCAGTTGTCTCAAGGCTACTCTGCCCCTTCTTGTGCTGGAGCCCAGGGTGAGTGGCTACAAACAAAAATGTATGTGTTGGCCCTTTAAGCAGCTCTTAACATCCAGCCGTCCATCTCTGGCAGAGAGCAGCCCTGCCACTTTTCGCAGTTGGCTATTATCTGAGTACTTTTTGGGCTCTGGTGCGGTAGCCTGGAGATCCCTGCATATGGTTTAGACCCCACTCTTCTCAGGGGGATCGAATTGGCCTTTTCAATATCATTCTGGTGCTGCTGCCCATGAGTGCCCTGCCCATCTTCTCGAGTCTCTACTGCAGTTCTTACCAGTTAGGTTGTGCTAAAGCTGATTCTTCTGTCTGTCCAAGGTTAAAAGGCTCCTCTCTTGCTATTCAGTTGTTCGTTCCAGGTGATTTCTCCACAATTTAGTTGTAGTTCCTGGTTGGTCCTGGGAGGAGGTCAGTGTGATTTCCACTCATACCTCCACCATCTTGATTCTCTCGAGATTGATTTATCACCCCCATTTTTACAGAAAAGGAATCTGCAGCACAGAGAAGTTAAGTAAATTGTTCAAAGTTTAACAGCTAAGATGTGACAGGGCATCTGGGACTGCAATCAGACAGTCCAGCCTGGAGACCATGCTGCTAACAGCCCTGCTCTAAAGTGTTTCTTTGGAATGGTGATAATGCAGTTGAGCACAGGGCTGTGGGGAGGGTTAGATCAGCTGAAAGAACTCTGTACATACTAGGTCCTCAATATGTGTCATCTCAGAAAAAGACAGTAGATGATAAACTGTCATGTGCGTAGCGTAGCCAGGATGCTCAAAGTAAGGAAAAATCACCTGTCTTTAGGGTGTCCTGGGAAGCATGGACCATTAAGAATTCTAAACCATTAAGAATTAATAGTTTAGTTTTAGGGATTGAATAGGGCACCCTTGGGGAAGGAATAATAATCCAGAGACCACTTCATAAAGGGCCAACACTCCTACCCACACCCATTGAACCCCCATACTGTTTTACTAATGGTATCTCTCCTTACTCCCCTACACAACCCCTCCTTTACCATCCCCCCCTCAACTACTGCCAAGTCTCTAATGTAAGGCCTGCTCTCATGCCTCTAGGCTTGGAATATGTCACTGTCACTAATTGGAATACCCTGTCTTTCTCTACTGCCAACCCTTGACCTTCACCTCCTGCAGAATCAGCCTCAGCACTCCTGTAGGAATCATGACTTTATTTACTTTGTCTGTTGTTCAGGTCCTCCTTACAGTGCACTGCTGCATGAACACTTGTACTAGTTGGTTTATTATTTTAACAAACACTCCCTAATGTTAGGGAATGTGTAGCTGTGTCCCATCCAGAATGGCTAGAGATTGATTAGTACAACTTAAATAAAATTTAAAGAGAATTTGAGCTATTTATTTTCTCTTTAGCTGTTCCCAAACATGAGTGCAAATCCAACTTTTCATTATAGCAATCAGCTTTTACAATGATCTTTGGAACATTCATTCCACTTGCTGATGATGTGTTAGGCCTTAATCCAGGCACAGGAGACCCGGTGAACAATACAGTTTTCATCACTGGGAATGGAAAGCACAGGAGGCATTTTTCCTCCTGATAAACTATGGGATGCTTTGGCATCTTAGGGGTTTGTTCAGTTATTTTTTCATTTATTTTTTTCTCCCTCTTTTTCTAAGTAACAGATATATAGCATTTTTCAGTTTACTAGTACTTCACAATCTCTTCGTTTAATTTTCACTACGGTCCTGTGAAGTAGGTACTATTATGTCCATTTTGTAAATAGACAAACTGATACTGAGAGAGGATAATTCTGTTGCTATGGAGCTGGGTAGAGTTAGGTAAAGACAGGTAGAGCCAGGATGCAGGTCTTGCTCTTTCTCTAGGTATTAGTACATGTCTCATTGCACAGCACTGTCTGGTAAAAACTACTCTACCCAGAGGCTTTGTTTCTCTTTTAGTTGGAATAAATGACCTTTATCTTTGTGGTCATCTGCTCAAATCTTTTATTAGGCACATAATTGTGTTTCACTCAGTATGAATGCAATATGAAGAGATACA